GGAACCAAGAACCAAGACACGGGGCCGGATGTCTGAGGACAACGATGGAGTTCTGTATCTGGCTGCACGAGAAGCCAGCTCTACCACTGTCCTGTGAACTGATGGCTTAGTTGACCAGTTCAGTGGGGTTTTCTGTCACTTGCAACCTGGTCTCTGGCTTCTCTGACATGCTCTGCCCTCCCATGCTCACATCCTGGCCCTGCCACCCCTTCCTATGGCTCTTCCTTGGAAATCATTCTTCAGAATCCCACTACCCGCAGGCCCTTCTCTCTTACTCAGACCCCTCAGCTGAGCTGCTCCTGTGGGCGTGGGTCCCAAGCCCCTGATGCAGTCCCTGAGTTGAAGAATGGATGGCTTAACACTGAAGGCTGCTTGGGCCTCCTCAGCCTCGTGACAGCTCCCGCTCCTCATCTGGCTGCTGCTGGTGCTGAGACGGGCAAGAGGCCTTTCGGCCAACATGTGGCCGAAACAGAAGCCCATCTGTCCTGGACCCACCATTTCCTTCCTGTGTCTTGTAGCTGGGGCTTTGGGGATCCACAATTCCAGGGGAATTGCAATGCCCAGGGGGAAAGCTTCTAGGCTTGGTCCAGGCTTGGGTTCTCTGCACCCACTGATCAGGAGGGGCTCCAGGTGGGCCAGGCCCACAGAGGCTGCGTCTGGGCCTGATTCCACCATGGCCTTTTGGTCTGGGGCAAGACTCTCCTCCCCAAGCCTCAGCTTCCTCAACTACAGTAGAGCCAAGAAACGTTTCCCTCATGTACCTGCTAACTAGGCAGGGTCCCTCACCAGCCCGGGGCACGGGACCTGCCTCCTGGTGAGCCCCCTCCTAGCTCTCTAGCTCCCTCTTCTCCCTGGCTCCGGGACAGTCCTGCAGACACTGGAGAGGGCCCCTCGCCCTCTCCCCCTGCCCCCAACCGAACCTGTTCCTTAGCCACTGGCAGCGCTTATCCTTGGGGAGGTCTGAGCACTGGACCAGGGGCTGCTCTTGCTCCCAGCTGCCTGACCTTGGGGGCGCGCCCGAGGCCACAGGCTGTCCTGGCAGCTCCAAGGGGGTAGCAGAGAGGACCTAGTTCTTTCCACAGCAGCTGAGATGGGAGCCACTGGCACCTGCCAGAGGGGGACAGATACTTGCCAAAATATCAGGAGAACAGATCTCGTGTGTCAAAGCACCATAAAGTAAAATTTAAAATGGCCGTGAAGGGATGCGGGAGTGAAAGAATTCAGGGTCTGCGCTGGGAGGAAGTGTGAAGGACTTTTTATACTCTGAACGTGCGGGCTCTCGAAGATTCAGGATGCAGGTCCATGCTGTTACCCTCCAGAGGGTAGGCTGAGAGAAGATTCAGGACGCAGGTCTGTGCTGTTACCCTCCAGAGGGCAGGCTGAGAGAAGATTCAGGACGCAGGTCTGTGCTGTTACCCTCCAGAGGGCAGGCTGAGAGAAGATTCAGGACGCAGGTCCGTGCTGTTACCCTCCAGAGGGCAGGCTGAGATCAGTCCCTGCATTCCTTTAGCTTTTACATGAGCTGTTTTTTTTTTTAAAGATTATTTCTGCATACAGAACTGGGGTACAGGCCAGAGATGCAGGGGCGGTGAAAGGATTCACCAGACAGTGGGGAGCAGAACAGACAGATGAAGCACACTGCTGAGGGGAGCAGCGGGCGGGTCAGGTCAGGAGAGGTCTGCCGCGGCATGGGGGTCACTTCTGGGGCTGGGATCGAACTCATGCGGAAGCGGCTTTAGCTTCTTGGTGCTGTGCTTTTAACCAGGGAGGCCCCACATAAGCCTTTAAGGGCCGCAGATGGGCTGTGGGGCCCGGTCATTTTGGTTCCCCTTATCTGTCCAAGGTCTCAGGGGCCAAGGCAACTTCGGCAAGCCCCTTGTCTGTTTAAAACTTCCCATCCTTGTGTGCCTGGCAAGGAAGCCTGGGCTTTCAAACAGTGACCAAGGGCCAGCGCACACTCCTTTGCTGAGGCTACACAGGCTGAGCAGAGGCAGGGCTGCTGCTGTCAGACTGGCCCGTCCTCGTCCGTGTGCGGGAGGCACGCAGAACCGCCCGCAGCTTCCGGGAGGGGCAGCCGGACTGGAGCAGCACTGCCACAGGCCACGGGGTGCAGAAAAAGCTCCAGAGGCAGGGGACAGCGAAAACAAGGAGACGGACTCGGTGGGCACGAGCCGGCCCACCTGTCCATGTCAGTTGAGGGAGAAGCAGAGCCAGGAGGGCGGGCAGTGCTGTCCCCCTGTGTACTGGGTGGTGGTGGGGAACTGGCCTGCACACGGTGGGGCTGGCGAAGCCCGTTCTGGAAGGCTGACTCTGGGAATGGGGCCAGAGCTGGAGGTTCCCAGGGAGCCAGGGGAAGGCTGGAACCCCGTCAGCGCAAGCCGGACCACAGTGACACTTGAGTCTGTTCTTGTTGCTTCTGACCTCGATGATGAGGACATCCTGCCGTCACTGAGATCTTTCATCAGACATCGGACCCAGGAACAGAAAACCAGATGCAGAGGCTGTGGAGTTACTGTGGGCCCAAGAACTGCTTCACCCAGGGGTAGAGCAGAAATCAGCAACCAAAATGGCCACTTCTTTCCTAATGTGGCCAGAATCTGCCACATCAGAAATGCACAAGCAAGGGAATGCGGGAAATGTAGACCAGCCTGGCCGAGGTGACGTCAGAGACACCCGGGTCTCCGCTACACCCCGGGAGGAGGGGAAGGAGGGCTCATGCCCCGAGTATGACCGCCCAGGAGCCAGGTCAGGCTGGGCTGACCCATGGGGCAGTCTTCACACAGCCGGAAGAGGGTGATGGCCGCTCCAGGCTGCCGACCATGGGCTTAGCACGGCCAGGGCTCCTGCTTGTTCGGGCCCTGTCAGAAGCATTTCCGAAAGATGTTTCTGGGGCCCCTCCCGAGGGGGAGTGGGGCCATGCAGGGAGCCCTTGGAGCCTGCCTCAGCCTGGCCGTGCTCCCACATGGGGCTGCGTGGTCGGCGGCAACTCCTGAGGACTGTCTATGCGGACACTAAATATTTTATGCAACATCTCACTCAAAAGGCGGGCTTTAAAAAAGAGGTCTTCCGCCACCCAGCTACTCAGAGTTCCCATAAAAACCAAACAACAGTAAGTGTTGGCGAGGACTGAGAGACGCAAGCCCTGTGCACCGCGGGTGGGGAGCTCGGTGCGAGGTTCCTCAAGGAAGAAAACCCAGCTCCCCTCTGACGCGGTTCAGCCCCAGAGAGCGCAAGTTCAGGACAGGAAGAGCTACCTGTACACTCATGTTCATAGCAGCACTGTTCACGACAGCCAGGTGGAGTCAAGCGTGTCCCTCACCACATGAATGGAGAAGCAAAGCATGAGGTGGGTCCGCAGCGGGTTATCATTCTGCCTCAGGACAGAAGAAATCCAGCTCACTACAGGGTGGCTGAACCTTGAAAACATTGTGCCAGGTGAAGTGAGCTGGCCACAAAAAGATAAGGACGATCTGACTCCATTTATATGAGATATCTAGAATAGTCAACTCACAGGCCACAGTCAAACAGTGGTTGCCAGGGGCTTGTGGGGAACAGAGCCCCCACGAGGGGAGCAGAGTTTCAGTTTTGCAAGATGAAAACGCTCTGGAGCTGGATGCACACGGAAGCTGCACAGCCTTGCTGAGCCGTGCACCTCATAAAGGAGAAGTGGGTTGTTCTGACGTGTATTTCACTACAGTTGAAAATAAACACCGTTTGGGTCAAACGCAGACAGTGTGGCCTGCAGCTGCCTTTGAGATCGCACAACTGACCTTGTACGAGGCGCTTTCAGATGCTTCAGAAGGCAAGAAACTCCTGAGGGGACTGAAGCAAGAAGCCACGTGGAGAAAGTCCCTGACTGACTGCAGCGGGGCGGCCACCTCTCCCAGGGACCATCGCTGAGATCCCAGAACGCCGCCGGCGACCCAGCAGACATGTCCTCCCGGGGCCCCACCTCCTCTTCTCTCACAGCCCCTGGCTCTGGCTGCCCGTTGGTGGCTCTAAGTATGTGAGTGGGTCCTGGCCAGCCCGGCTGCCCTTGAAAGCCTTGTGTTGTCCCGCTTGACGGAATGAACCCGTTCACTGACGCCCCCAAGTCCTCGAAACTGTCTTCTACCTTCTGCTGCCCACTGGGGGTGTTGCCTGCAGCCTATTCTCTCAGGGGTCCAGGAACATAAGGAGAAGGGGTATCCCCATCCCCCTCCACAAGAGGGACACCAGACCAGGGCCAGCCCTGGGTCTCTACCAGCCAGAATCTGGTCCTCTGGCTCCTGGGAATTCAGCTGTGCGTGTCCACGGTCTGGATTCAGGACTGGGCAAACCCAGTCCCAGAGAGGACAGAGGACTTGCTCCAAGTTTTGTATGTTCTGAGGACATGCACACAGCCTGAGTCAAAGCTCCTTTCCTCAGGGAATGAGCTTCTACCATTCCCATCACCTGCTGCTTACTCTGAGAAGCGGGAGAGGGGTGTGCAGGCCAGGTGGGACTTAGGAGTCAGCCGACTATCTGTTTACCCCACCAACCAGGAGCCTGTTCAAACCTGCCAAGCTGAGAAACCCCTACAGGCGAGGCGCCCCCAGGATTCATCCACAGTTGATATATATTGAGGCCCCTGGCTAAGTCCCTTCCTTGCTGGGTCTGTTTCTGACTCTGTACAAAGCGGGTCTGGGCAGCCCGGAGCCCCGTCCCCCGTTCCCAGACTGCCCTGAGTCTGGCAGTCCAGGGAGGGCCCGCGGGCCGTAACAGGCTTCTCACCTGGTCCTCGCTGAGGGCAAGGCCTTGGCTTCTGTGCCCAGGCTGCTTCTAAATGAAAGGATTCAGACTTCCAGGAATTAAGAGTGAAAAGAGATTGATAAAGTGTCCCCCCACCAAACCTTTCTACTGTACCAAACATGGCTCCGTCCACAGCAGGCCCCAGTGGCCTGTGTGACAAGTCCCCTCGGAGGGCTGATGCTAGGAGAAACTAGGACCCAGCATCACCCTACCAGCAGCGCTTTCTGCAAGGTAGACGGTTTATTAAATATATCCAGAAAAATACAGAGAACTTAATTTTAGAAGACTGAAACAGCTGAAGGCGGCTCAGCCCCCTGCTAGCGGCGCCGAGCCAGGTGTGAGCCAGACCCGCAGCGGCCAGCGGCCCTGCTCCATTTCCGCCCAAAGCAAATCCAGACACATACTAAGCAAGAGCCTGTCTCAGCTGTACTCGGGCAGTGAACGGCGGCCTCGATCCTGAAAGTCCAGCTTCACTGGCAGTGCGGCCGCTTGGCCTCCGGCTCCTCCTGCTTCAGCCAGCGCGCCAGGAGCCCCGCGCTGCCTCTCTTGGGGGCCAGGGGGCTCCTCTGCAGGCACTGGCTGGACCACTGGGGCACACCTGACTCTGCCTTTTCGGGTGTCTTGGGGTCTTCCTTTTTGGGTGACTTTGTGGCCAGCCACTGCAACATTTTCTGGCTGCTCCCACTTGCCTTGGTTTCCTGGGGGGAAAGAGAGAGCACAAACCACCCAGCTTAAGGTTACAGGGAAAGGTCAACGGAAGGAAACAGGGTAGAGAGAAGGTACGAGGTTACCGAGGGCCGGTGAGCCCACAGTCCAAGAGGGGAGAGAACTGGTGTGCCCTGCAGGCTGGGGTAACTCGGAGAGCCCCGGGCTGCACGAGGCGCGTGGGACAGTCGGGAGCGGCGGGGCCCCTATACATGCTGAAATGAAGCACCTGCAGTGTCGTTCAGGGCCAGCAGGGCATTGGGAGTGAGGCTGCAGAGGTCTGGCTTCAAGACGGCGATGAGGGGCCAGCCCAGGGCTGAAGGGACTGCCTCCCCCCTGGGCAGCCCGCCACCACCCTCTCCCTGACTGGCACTGCTCCCTGTGCTTCCCTCACGCCTGAGCTTGAACTGGAGGTCTGGATTCACAGAATGCCACCCCTCCCCCCAAAATGTGTGTTCCTTTTTTAAAAAAAATATTTATTTATGCACACAAGAACTAGGGTGTAGGTCAGACATGCAGAAGGTCAAGGGATTCGGCAGAGGCAGAGTAGGGAGCAGTTCAGGCAGATCTACTGAGATACACTGCTGAGGGGAGCAGCAGGTGGACAGGCGAGGTCTGCTGCGCCAGGTGGGTCCGCTCCCTGGCCGGGATCGAACTTGTGCTGCAGTGGCTGGTGAGAGCTTGACAGTGTTGAGACTCTCAGCCCTGCTCCACCAGGGAAGCCCCCAAACGGGGCAGTGTCTAGTGCCAAATGAATGCAGATGACTATGTTTTTAGACGCAGCTAATGAAAATATGTCAGAGTTAAGGGAGTTTGCAGTGAATCAAGACAGCAGGAAAAGAGCAGATGATTGTTGGGGTGGAAAACTTTAAGGAAAATGGGGGGGCGGGAAGGTGTTCTTGCCATTACCACCACTCACGTATGCCAGGTATCCTGAGATGCCCATTTGTGGGGCTCTCAGAGTCATGTCCCACTTCAGGCTGCTCCTAAACCTTCACCCCAAACACTGATAGGGGCCAGTTTCTGCTCTGGAACCTCCTCCCCAACACAGGCTTTTTGCCTGTTCACCGGTTTTTCAAATTACATCTTCTGGATTCCTGCCATTTATAAATTAAAGTGCATATCAAGAAAATCCCCAAACCTTTTCAAGGAGAGTAAGAACTCCTTTAACTTGCAGGTGTGGAAAAGGGACCACAAGCCCACACGGTCGGCTTTGGGGATACAAATATGGTCAAGGGCTCTTCCGTCTTTCTCACATTCATCCTCTGCTTTGGCTTGCTAGCAGATTCCGGATAGCACAGAAGCCCAAGCCAGCCCTGCATGCCTCGCCCTGCCTCCCTGCCTCGCAGGCCTAGAGAGGGACCAGCACTGAGGTTCTGGAAGGGCTCCAGTCAACTTCGGACAAGCACCGCCCTCCCCCACGGCACGCACAGGGATGCGTATCTGGGAGCTTAACTTACAGGCCGAGGGCAATCGGCCACGTCCTAAAGAAAAGACCGTCCTGGGCCCTCCCTCGTGGTGCAGCAGGTTGGAGCGCTGTACTGCGAAGCTAAGCCGAGCTGTGGCCACTTCAATGTGAGTTCAATCCCCAGCTTGGAGGTGAGCCCCAGGGAGCGGCAGACCTCTCCTGGCCCGCCCGCTGCTCCCCTCAGCAGTGTACTTCATCGATCTGCCTGTTCTGCTCCCCACTCTGTCTCTGGTGAAGCCTCTCACTGCCCCTGCACCTCTGGCCTGTACCCCAGTTCTGTATACAGAAATAAATAAATATTTTTTTTTTTTTAAAAAAGAAAGAAAAGGTCGTGCTGACAAAAGACAGGACACTCAAAACGCAGGGTCCGGTCCCGACCCTACCTTTTTGTCCAGTAAGTCGATAGGAGTCAGACACTCTGGTGTGTTGTTTCGACAGTTGTTCACTGTGGAGGAGACTGGGTGGAAGGTGATGTTCTCTGTGGGGTGGATCAACTTCAGCGCTTCCTGGGTTGAGACTGCACCAAAGTCGAGCCATCTGGACACTGCCTCCTCACCGTCTAATATGGCTGGCATCCTGGTCGGTCGAGACGGTGGGGAGGGGAGGCGAGGGGGAGACAGACTCGAATCAGCAGACGGTACAAGTCGCCAGGAAGCTGGACAGGAGGCTGCGTCCCTCTGCAGCTCCAGGCACACAGTGCCCTGTGCTCCCTGCACAACTCGACATGGCGCAACATTCAAGACAGCGACTGGGGTGGTTTTGGCTGTGCCATGAGGTGAACACAGAGAACTGCACCCAGCTGAACCCTGCGGAATTTGCAGGTGCACACGGCGCACCTCACCCGTCAGCGCTCCCTCTGCTCACAGCATATTATCTACGAAGTTGAGACTCGCTATTATTTTGCATTGTGAAATTTCTTAAATGTTAATAAAAAACACTCAAACATCTCAATGTAATCTGTTTCCTATGCCAAGCAGTACATGCAAATGGAAACTTTTAAGTATTCAGAAGTCTGAAGCAAAAAGAACTTTGAAAGTAATAAAAAGAACACACGGTAGGAGCCCATGTCAGTGGCAACACTAAGGTAAGGAGCGTGAGTGGGGACAGCCTGAAGTGTGATGGCCACGCCTGTCAGTCCTAGGAATGGCAGTAACAACAGCTTCGTTAGCAGACGGATTGAAGGCTAAGTGGGGGAATGGGAATGGGAAACTTCCTGGCAAGCAGCCTCTGTACGTGAAGTTCTGAATCGCTACAGCAGTAGCTCCTTGCACTGGCCCGTTTGGTGGCGTCAAATATGGTTGCAATTTCCAAGGCTTCTGGCCATCAGAGAAGACATGACGAATACCGATGAAAATGCTGCTAAGGAATTTCCAGCAGTGACACAAAGGACCTGAAGGAGGCTATGAACGGGGCTAAAATGTCCCAGCCTTGATGAAACGTGCATCTGTGATAAATGCACGCCTCGAACAAACTATATTCTAAATGCAGAAAAACATCTCAGGATTCAAGACCTCAAAAGATGATACATTTCTATAACTTTCCGTCCACCGCCTCCCAGTAACTCCTGAGCTGCCAGTCTTCTGACATCACTTCCACAAGCAAACTTTGGCCTTGTTAAGGTGAAGTGCCACATTTATTGCAGGATCTATGCTTTAATCATTTAGTGTTTAAAACCATGGTCGTTTTTTATTCAGTCTTCCTTATTGTGTGTCACTGACAGCTTTTAAGTACTGTCCCCTTGACCCCACTTTGCCCGAAGCTCTGTGGGGATTTCTAGGAATGCACGCCGTGCAGCAGCCGAGCTGACTCTGACTCGGATTTGTGGAGGGCCTGCCTCCTAGCTGCGCATCTGGAAGCGCCACATTCCCAAAACTCTCGCTCTCATCTAGCTACCTGCTCTGGGTTCTTCTGGACCAGGGTAAGGAGCACGACTTGCCTGGGGTGGATGCTGTTCAAGCCTTTGCAGGAATCCACCGTGATGATGGTGTAGGAATACAGGCAGTCCCCTCCCTCTGGGGGCTCCCAGCAGTCGAAGATCCCGGCCATTGTCAGCAGCCTCCAGTTGTCCCAGACTTTCTCCTCCCAGACCTCAGAACTGCCTGCGGTCTCCGTGTTGTCTGACTGGAAGCAAAACAATGTGAGCAGATAAGAGACACTCGGTAGCTGCCCTCTGCACACAGTGGGTACTACCACAGCGGAGAGCAGGGCCATTACTTTGTCATTCAGCCAGGCCTACGGCCACCTCTCATCCTCTCACCACAGAAAAGAGGCTTGGCGGCCAATACCGACTGACGCTATAGCTGCACGGCTCCTGATTGCTTCCAGGATACAACCTAACGCCTTTCCTGGGCCTTCACTTGTCATTCCAGCTTTCACTTAACGGCGTTACTACGAACCAGACCCAGCTGTTGGGAAATGAAGTCCTCATGCAATTCCATGTCCCTAAGTCTTGCCAAAGCAACCTTCCCGAATCAACAATGTCCTCTCTGCCCTTTCACCACGTTACTCCTAATTGCCATTTAAGATTCAGCCCAAGGCCTAGAACATAGAAAGCTGGGGGCCCTCCTTGGTGGTGCAACAAGTTAAAGCACAGCACTATGAAGCCACCGCAGCCACTGCAGCAGGAGTCGGATCCCGGGCCAGGGAGTGACCCACATGGCGCGGCAGACCTCTCCTGACCCGCCCGCTGCTCCCCAAGGCAGTGAACTTCATCAGTCTGCCTGTTCTGCTCCCCACTCTGTCTCTGGTGAATCCTCTCACCATGACTGCCCACTGCACTTCTGGCTTGTACCCACTTCTGTATGCATAAATAAATCTTAAAAAAAAAACCAAAAAAACCAGAAAGTTGCAAAGTGTCACCTCTACCTTACTAGTACAAAAAACCTAGATAATCTATAAAATCATAACTTTTCTCATTTAATTTCTATTATTTTTAGTGTGTAAAGTGACAGCTTTTGTTTTTTAAAAGATTTATTTCTTTATGCATATAGAACTGGGGTACAGGCCAGAGGTGCAGAGGGTGAGAGGATTCACCAGAGATAGAGCGGGAGCAGAACAGGGAGATCAATGAAGTACACTGCTGAGGGGAGCAGCGGGCGAGACAGGAGAGGTCTGTGCTGTGTGGAACAGCTTCCTCGGGGGTGGGTATCGAACCGGTGCTGAGGTGGCTGCCACGAGCTTCATGGCGCTATGGCGCTGCCCTTTAACCCACTGCACCACAAGGGAGCGCCCCAGTGACAGGTTTTTTTTCTTTAAAGATTTATTTTATTTATGCATACAGAACTGGGGTACAGGCCAGAGGTGCAGGGACAATGAGAGGATTCACCAGAGACAGAGTGGGGAGCAGAACAGGCAGATCACGAAGTACACTGCTGAGGGGAGCAGCGGGGAGAGAGGAGAGGTCTGCGCGGTCAGCTCGGGGGGCCGGGGATCAAACTCATGCGGAAGCGGCTTTAGCTTCTCAGTGCTGCGCTGCAACCCGCTGCGCCACCAGGGAGGGCCCAGTGACAGGTTTTTAAATGCTGTCTCCTTAATCGCACTTTCCCATAAATTCTGTGGTTTTTCACGGTGCTATGTGGCATGAAGGGTGAGGTTACGTGAACGCACTGAGGTCTGGGGCTACCAATGAGAACTTCATGGGAAACAAGGGGCCTCTAAGGGAGGATGAAACACAAGTCCTGGCTCACTGCTAGGTACAGGAATCAGACAGCAAGTCAGAAAATCAGATACAATGATCAAATTACTACCAGCAGAGTGTGGGCTAGCCTGGAGTTTCAAAGTCCCTGGGATCTGGAGACACCAGGAGTGTTGCACAAGCTGGCAGATTCTTCCCCAAGAGAACTCCCCAGCTGCACAGAAGATGGCCAGGGTAAGAGGCAGAAAGCCTCCCTTGCTGGTGCCGAGAGGCGAGGAGCCACTCTGTCTCGGGAACCTTCACCTGATCACGTTTCTTAAGGGACAAAGCCTTAAGGGCTCCGGGAAAGAGTAATAATATATCCTCTCACCCTTAAGGTACTCAGGATCCTCAGAAACTGAGGAGGGAACAAAGAAAAAAATACCTTTGCTTCCCTGGGAGAGAACTGCTGAGAACAAGTCCAAGCCTGAGAGCCAGTGACAGGGTTGTGCCTGAGACCAAGACTGGACCAAGACCACGGAGAACTCTCCACCCCTTCAGATGAGCGAGCACCAAGTAACAAGCAGTACAGTCTGCTTCTGGGGAAGGGGCGAGAGCTGGAGAGACCCTCTGGAAAGACATAGGAAAGCACAGGAGTGGAAGGGAACAGAACTACTGAGAAACACCCTCTGGAAAATCAGCCCTTACCCTCGACAGGGGCACCAGAGAAATTTCAAGTCTGTTTCACAAAGTGACCATAAACGACAAAACCTAAGTCCAGTTCAATGCCTGACAAGATTGACTCAAACACATTAATGTTCTAATAAAAAGATAAGTACCCATGTCCAGATATAAATGTTATTTATCTCAGTCTCTGTATTATATACCAAGCCTGGTAATCAGCCAAAAATAACAAGATTAAAAAATAAAAAACCCAAATAGTAACTGCCAAGAGAGACAAACATGAACAGAACCAGCTCAGAGCCAGCCTGCACTTTCAGGCTAACCCATGCTCTGCATTTTCCAGATGATGAAGCTATCAGTGAATTTAAACTAAGGGCAATTAGTATGTTGAAGGCTCTTGTAGAACAGATGGACAAGCGTGCATGAGCAGATAAGGAATTTTGATGAAGTAAGAAAGAATCCATAAACTTAAAGATAGGGGAATAAAAATTACACAAATTGAAACAACAAAAAAGAACGAAATATCCAGAAAGGAACACCTGAGAACTATGGGACATTAAATTGTTGTCCCTGGACAAAGAAGGGAAAATGGGGCAGAAGAAATACTTTCACAGGTACAGCTGACCTATGAAATTATGAAAGACTGAAACCAGAGAGCCACGAAGCTCAGAAAAAATCGCACCCACACACCCTACACACATCATAGTTAAATAGCTGAAAACCAAAGAGAAGACCTTAAAAGCTGGGAATTAAGAGGTGATGGAAGAACACATAAGCAGGGGAAAAAAACAAAAAAATGAGAAAACCAAAAATTTCACAATTCTCAAAGAAAAAACAGAGACAGCAGAACACGGTTTTCAAGGCAGGAAAGAAACCAAAACCCTTCAACCCGAATCCGATACACAACAAGGCGCCCTCTCAGGGTCAGGGCAGGGGTTGGCGACTGGTGACTAGTAAGGGGCACAGGGCTCTGTCCGAGTTTCAAAGTCGCTGGGAGGGGGACAAACCAGGAGAGTTTTGTCTGAGAGAAATGTAATTTTTGTTTTCTAGTTTTTTTTCACTGCTCACAATGTATACTCCAGCCTTGAAGGTCTCCTTGGTTTTCAGCCATTTGAATATGATGTGTGTAGAGGGTGTGTGTGTGTGGTTTTTTTTTCTGACATTAGGGGGTGATGGCCGCCCCCCCATTTTGAGTATACTAACAACACTATGTGCTTTAAAATTTACATCTCAAAATTCTGAAGACAAAAAATAACTTTTTTTCAGACATATAAAACCAGAATGCACTACCAGCACGAAAAGAAATACTGAAGCAAGTAGAAACCTGGGTCTGTACAAAGTGAAGGGCCACAGAAATGGATAAAATGAGGTAAATGTAAAATATATTTTTATCATTCTGAAATATAAGCGACCATCTAAAGCAAGGCAGTGACAATTATTGTGAGTTATGGTCTGTAAAGAGTAAAATGTGAGACAAGGTGCCCCAGGCAGGAGCTGGGAGCGAGTTGTGGGGCCCAGGGGACCTGAAGGGAGACTGCTGTGTGGGGGGACAGCGACGCTGAAAACACTTGAGTCTGAAAGCGAAAGCTCTGAGGGAAGTTAAGCATAAAGTTGCCGTGAGACCTGGCAAATGTACTCGTGCGCCTAAGCCCAAGAGGGATGAAGACACAGGCACAGCAAGGTTACGCGGTCACCCTGAGAGGCACCGTCCACCCGTCAGAGACCTCCAGAGCCTGAGTTTTGGGGGATAACAGATGTTCTAAAATTAGACAGTGGTGGTGGTTGTACAATTTAGAATATACTAAAAAAAAACGCTATTGTTCAAAAGATGAGGGAAGAACAAAGCGGATCGTGTCTGGGCCAGTTTCTCTGGGTCTTTCCCGGCCCCCACTGAGTGCTGATGACAATACCTTTGTTGTCCTGGTTTGGGGGAAGTAGATGAAGTATGGCTGCCTCTGGCTGGAGAGCTGAAGCCGCTGCCACTCGTAGAACCCATCTGCTAAAACCACACAGCGTCTCCCCTTTCCCAGAGGCACCTGAGGGAAACGTGGGCAAGATGTGGTTTCAGTGTGTGAAAGCTCGGGCGCGCCAATGTGCGACCACACAGCATTTCACTTATCTGACCACCCTCTCCTCAGGAAGCCCCCACTCACACGAGTGTGCAGAGCTGAATAGTGTACAGCAGACACCAGCTCGCTAACCCACCAGCTCTGGGACAGTCTCCAGAGCTGGGGCCCCGCAGGCTCCCGGTGGCCACACCCCCGCAGGCCTTTCCACACTGACTCGGGGCCTCTCGGGAGAAAGCAGCAGCAAAGAAGCCTCGGAGCTTTTGCTCTGCTCTCTTGATCATGAGCTCGAGGCTAAGCCACACACTGTGGGCGCAGCCTGACCACTGTGACACCTCCCGGGAGGCTTGTGACAAGGCCGCGCCTTGCTCTGGCTATCCCCGAGCAGGAGTTTGACACACGGGTGCAGAGGCATCTGGCCCAGCTGTCCTCTGGCTGTTACTGCATGAGCACCTGCAAGCGCAAAGTGAAGGTGAGCCCAGCCAAGCCACGACGAGAGATGAAAAGCTGCTTCATCTGAAACCACTAGGTTGCTCGGCACCTAACAGAACAGCACTGAATAGATGGGAATAGCCCTGTGAGGAAAAAGGAGAGTGTGTGCTCTCCCCCAGACCAGCCACCTACCTTGAAGGACCGTTTCTCCATGATGGTGTCACTCCGACAGTTGGAGGTGCTGAACTTCCAACTGGAAGGGTCGCACTCTTTGAACCAAAATGGAATCAAGCCCCATCGCATGGGAGCGATGACACGCTCAGACGAGTCTGCGCCCTGCCACAGAAACAGGACAAACCATAATGAAGCGGGGTAGTTGCTGTGATGGATAGAGGGGACATCGGAGTACATGACCTCAAAGGACTGTACTAGAATGTGAAGCTATGCAGAAAAAAATACAAGATGCTCATGTTAAGGGCCATGAGTGGTGCGTCCAGTGTTAAGGAGGGTGGGGGGAGGATCTGGGAGGAGACATACAGCCTTAGAAGGGGCGGGGAGTGGTTCTTGAATTGGATTCCGGAAGAGGGCCTGGGATTCAGACGAGATGGGAGGGGAGATCAGATATGAAATTAGATGAGTACAGAGGTCTTGTCAAGAACACGTAGGAAGTGGGAAAGAGTTGTTAAGCCCGAGGACGCCATGTTCAGGGTGCCACGGCTGTCCCTGTATGCAGGGCCTACACGTGTTCCTACGTTTTCATTGCTAGAAAAGGAACATGTTTGCTGTGTCCCCCACAGAAGAGCACGTCAAGAAGCCTGTGCATGGATTTTCCAGTTTTCTACCTGTCTGTGTCCTTCCACTGTACCATACCTGAGCTGTGATGTGCCTTCCATGCCGAGGCTTCCAATGACCTCAGGTGTGGGGCAGTTTAACAGCCATCAAACGTCTTTTGGGTAACCGGTCTCTTTAGAATTGACAATCTGCTGAAACCCATACTGAACTGCATATACACTCTACCTGGCTTAGCACATTACAGGCTGGGAGAGACGCGAGCAAAGTAGACTTGGGTGCCACTGATGGTAGCAGTGAGGATAAAATACATCCAAATTAAATTATGGTGGTAAATGGAAAAAGGAAACAGGTGATCAAGTTTTCAAGCCTAGAAGTGTGAAATGATAGTATTACTGGACAAGAGAGGAGTCATAGGAGCTGATTTGGGAAGAACAGGTGTTGGGTCAGATAGTAACAGGAACCACAGGAGTTTACATGGCCGCCGGCTTCTGCCTCTGCCCACCGAGGCCTGTGGGCCTTTGCTCCTCCTGGTGATTCGGGATGTGCTGTCACCTGCTTGTAGCTGACAGGATGGGGCACAAATGACAACATGTGACTTCTAAGGCTAGTTCAGAAAAGGTGTTTCGGCTGCTTCCTTGTTTGCTAAGCCCTGTTTGCAGGGCTTTAAGTTGCCAGGTAAGAAGTGCAGCTACTTTAAGGCTGCCATGTCGTGAGGGCGCCCTCGTGCGTGGACAGGCACACGCAGGTGCTCTGGTCAACAGCTCCGGAGGGAGCCAATGTCAGCTGCCAGAGCGTGAGAGTGGAGGTGCCTCTAGGGCAGAGGTTGGCAAACTTCTCTGTTCAGGGCCAGGTGTTAAGTGCTGAGACTTTGTAGGCCATACAGTCTGTCGCAACACAGCTGCTGTGAGAGGGACAAAGTCGTCACGGATGTTGCTGTGTTCTAGAAAATGTACATGTTGGACTTCCTGGTGGCACAGGAAGGGGTTAAGGCTCAGCCCTATAAAGCTACTGGCAGCCACCAGCAAGAGTTTGATCCCTGGCCGGGGAGGTGACCCACGTGGCTCAGCAGACCTCTCCTGTCTCACCCGCTGCTCCCCTCAGCAGTGTATTTCAGTCCAACAGCTGTTTTACTCCCCACGCTACCTCTGTTAATTCCTCTCAGCCCTTTGCACCTCTGGCCTAGACCCCAGTTCTTATATGCATAATAAATAAACCTTTTAAAAAAATCACTTCATGCTGATAACCTTAGACTATTACTGTATTGCAGATATCTGGGGGAAAGATTTAGTTGGCCGTTATATAATATTCTCTCCTTTATGCTTTGGGGGCCTGCTGCATGGAAGGCACATTTGATGGGAGGTGTTAGCTCATGCTGGGTAAAGGCCAAGAGGCTGCTAAACAAGCCGAGGAGCTTCCACAACAGAATCAGCCCACCACAAGGCCAGTGGTGCCGAGACTGTCCATTGATGTTTTGGGTTGAATGAAGTCATTTACAACCACTGTCTCTCTCCTGAGTGTGTCCATTGGACAACTGTGAATGAAACCCAAGTGTGTGACTGCCCCCTAGTGGGGATGATGAACAGAAAGTGACTGAGAAGCCAAAAGACTGAACATATGTTGCTCAGTATTAGTCATCTTTACCCTCTCTGACTTGTGACCAGAACAGCTGGAAGCACTGGAGTAGATGATCGAAAAAGGAAGTAATCTGCTAATCAGTGGTTTCAAATGCAAATGCTGCCATCTATGACCCGTGCTGGCCGTTGATGGTATGGATTAATGAGCTCCTGAAATGTTCTCATTTTGCTTTGCAATTTACAGGTTTGAGAAAAACAAAGCCTCGAATATTCATCAAAATTAGGCCACCCTAGTAATCTGAACAAAATGCACTGAAGATGCAGACTCAAAACACCACATCAGCAAATTCCCATGTCTGACAAAAAAGCAGGGCTCCGTCTCCCACTCCTGGTGCCAACAAGTACCCACTGGTGGGGCTGTTCTGGAACTCAGTTCCAGTGTAATTTAGGATAAGTCACAATCTTTCTACATTTCTATCTTACACCTGTTAAACAAGTTTTTCTTCCAACTAACATTTACTCCGTATATCTGAAGAGATGGTATTAAGAGAATCAAGGCTAAAACTGCTCATACACCGAATCCTCTATTTCCAAAGGATTTGCTTTCCTTTGAAACATATTTTATTTTCATCTTCCCAGTCAAAGCCCCCATGTTGTTTTGATTTCTCGCTCATTAAAAGGTTAATTTTTTTTCTTTTCTGTTTGTTTCAATAGGGAAGTATGCATCTACTAAAAATGACACAAGAAAAAAATTCATGTAAATGACTTCATTCAACCAAAAACATCAATGTTATTTGGTATTTTTATTTCAAATAATGTAACCTTTGTCACACAGGAAAGATTCTTTTGATTACCAAATTATTGCAAGAATTCTGAGGAGTATATAAGGTACAATCAACTTTATAAAGTGATTTCTATATTTCTCATATGTTAAGTGGAAAGTTTTATTAGGAAAAGGAGAAAGAAAAGATACCTGCATAGCCACAGAAAGGGAGGAGAGATGCATTTTTTCTATAGTGATTTAAGAATTATGGGCCAAACAGAATAAAAATCCAAGACGCAGACAATCTTGATTTTAAAAATCATATCAAGGGCAGTTAATGTAGGGTGTGGAGAATCCATTAATTTCTGACATGAAACATTTTCATTATACTGCATGTATCTTGTGTGGCTCCCCCCACCCCAAACTTTCAGGAGCTAAAACAAAGAATCAAACTATGATTATAAACTATTGTTAACTCCAACACTACAGGTGTAAATGCTAGAAACACAATGAATGAAATTAAACTTCAGTTAGCCAAACGAAATAAACATGTTTTTAGCTTCAGTAAAAGACAAATATAAAAAGATTGAAAACACAAGCAAAAAGAATAGAAACTTTTTCAGCTAGTCCTAACGCCACTTTAGGCTTGGCTTCCAACTCAGGTAGCTAGCAAGGAGCATGGAAATTGTTTTTTGTTTTTTAAACAGTTAAATGACCCTGATGATCAGTGGAAAGATGCTTTCTCAAAAAAAAAAAAAAAGCCTTCATATACAAGGTTTATATGAATTTAAGGCTAGTCTCCCGTATATATTTACATATATATATATATGTCTACAGAGATGTATATAGATATAGATATATAGAGAGAGATTGAGCCTGAAGAATATTGAATCTTCTAAGGTTGGAAGATACAGGTAAAACTTCTTTCAGTGAGGCTCAGAGTAGTTTTTCAATTAGGAGGGGGCTCAGAATATATCATTTTCTTTGTTTTTTAAAAAATATTTTTATTTATTTATGCATACAAGAACTGTGGTATAGGCCAGATATGGGCAGTGGGGGGCTGGTGGAGGATTCACCAGAGACAGAGGGGAGCAGACAGGCGGATCTACTGAAGTGCACTGCTGAGGGAGCAGCAGCGAGACAGGAGAGGTCTGCTGGGCCATGTGGGTCACTCCCTGGCTGGGGACTGAACTGGTGCTGCAGTGGCTGCCGATATAACTCCGTAATGCTGAGACTCAACCCCTGTGCTACCAGGGAGGCCAGGACATATTGCTTTGTAAAGGCTGATTTTTATGGCTGCTCAGAGGCTCAGCATACACCAAACCAACCAACAGAACAGTCGGCCATCAGAGTGAAGAGCCAGAAGCCAGTGTGTAAGTAAAGTGTTTACCTTCTCGAAGTGCAAACGAGACAGGAGCACCGGGCTGGTGGACTGAGGGCTCTTGTTGTAGGAGGGGCAATACTTGTCCGGGTCCTTCCACTCAGGGAGACGCTGCCGGCCCTGCTTGTCGTGATAGGCACAAGCTCTGGTGAGGACATCGAGTGGTAGGTGACAGGATGTTCGCCCACACATCCTTCAGCGCTGCCTCTCACCACCTTTAAATCACATTAACATTGGGAAAAGGTCGGTTAGTCGTCTGAAGTATTAGGTCTTCCTCTACTCACAGAACCCTCTTAGGAGTCGGGAGGACTCTACCCCTCCTCGGCATCAGCTGTGGCTACCCGCGGCCTCCTGCTCAGTTTTCTCGTTTCCCCAGAAAACGGGACTCTGCCCGTTTCGTCCACTGCCAGGCCCGTGGTCTCGCTGCCCACCAGGCATTACGGAGATCCTGAAACACCCGCCGAAGGCAAG